TCTTCTGCATTCTAACAAGCACTACTTGTTCAAATGTTATTTTCGAAACACATCAACCTTCATCATGTTTCCTCTCTGAGATTCCTGAGGTTGACATTCCGAGTTGGGCATCATGTGCAGAACATGGGTAGGTTGAAATTAACTGCTAATGAGGAGCGAAGGTAATGCGAGGCCGCTTTGTCTTAGGGGAAGGACTTCAGTATTTACTTTGAGGAATTCGATGAGTTTCTTCCATTAAATTGTTTTTTCGAAACAGCTTAAAAACTTTCCTTTGCATGTAGTGCTTACGATCGAATGGTGTTTTAAGCTAACTGTATTCTAAGTAGGAGTAACTTTGTCTCCAAAATCCCCCACTTTGTCAATTAATTCGTACCAGTTTCACCTAGTGGACGTATGACTTTAACCATCGATACGCAGAGCTCACTTGTCCAGTTTAGGAAGGCTGAGGATTGGATTCTACACAAGTTTCATTTTCATTTGGAATGTTGGTGTTTGCTCATTATTTCGACTCGCCCTCGGATCCCCCCTCCTTTGAAAATGCTCCGACACCTGCAAACACATGTCACCCTAGCAACCATCCATCCAATAATTCACCTACCCACCCAACTACTTAGTCGACTGACTGGGTGACTGACGCTGTTCTTCAAATTAGCAAATTTGGCATCTCGACGCGACTTTAAAACTATTTATATAGTTGTTCCCTTTCTTTGAATTCTGTTGGGCGTCGCCGTAGAACTGGCATTAGTTGACATTTCGATGGGGGATCGTAGTCAAGGTTCATCTTTTCGAGTTAAAATTGGTCCATAAGAAAAACGCCCTTTACTGTTCAAGGCAATCAGACATGATTTGTGACCGACAAATTAGTCCAAAAATGACCTCTCTAATCCAGTGAAGATCAAGTCCATTTTAGTGTGCTCGGTCAATAAGCACAAAAAATCCTTTTCCGATTGGTTGAGATACGAACGTGAACTTAATTGGCACCTAAATGTCAGACGGAATATCGCAGACCAAATTACTTAGAATTCCCACCCAGAAATTCAAAAAAATTGTGCAATTCTTGAAGTAATCTTTCTTATTGTTTGTAGAGTTAAGCGAAAAAAACCCACTTCAATTTCTTTTACAGCATTATTTTGCGCCTTTACAGGGTAAGGGAACAAACAATATGTCTCTTCTTAGTACCCTATCATATTTAAAGAGGTAAAGACAATTTATTTCATTGGTAAATGCACTCCAGTTACTGCGACACCTTGTTTTATGATTGCCGCCTTTTGCCTAATTAGGAAGTTTTCCAATTTCGCAGTTTCTTAACAACTTAGCCATTTCTCGGTCATTAATTTATCGATATTGGATAAATTGCACTAAAACTCAACAAACACGCATGATAGTTTGGCACCCAGGATATCCAGAGAAGCATCAAGTTACCTGCTTATGTAAGACTAAAAACCTGAGCTTTATTTGCTCATTGACATGATACGAATTTTAAATACCATTAGGTAGCAGGAGTGCAATGGGTTCCAGAATTGCTCAGTGAGTAAAAAATGATCCACAAGACCATCTTCTCTAATAACATCAAACCGAAGCTGACAAATGGCGCGTTTTCAACTGACCACATAAGGCTACCGCACTTGCAATGACTGAAGGATCTGTTTTGCTGCTGATTGGTTCATACACAAATTCACACCTCATCTTGAAGCACCTTATTTTATCATAACCAGAATAGTGCTAAATGTTATTTGACAACCAATCAATAAATGACTGTCAGTGCTATTACAATGTAGTATTATCTCTGATCTGAATAAAACAGTAGTGATTGCTTTTTTTGATGTGAAGATACAAACCCCGAGGCGCGTAACCAATCAGAACCGTCTGAAACGCGTCACATGGAATGAGATATCGGCTTTCATTCCCACTGGTTAAGACGTGAATGTGAGTTTTATCTTCCACCATTTGCGTGAGGCAATGTTGACCACCACAGTACAAAGGTAAGAAAAGAACACTCATGCATAATCAGTAGATGATACAGTGGTGAAAGCTTGCCTATTTAGAGGCGAAGACACCATTCCCTTATGAAAAAATAATCCGTTAAAAACAGACTGCTTAAATTGCAATTAGGGGGAGTGGGTGGATCAGGTACATGTCGAGGTACCTCCAACTTTGGCTGAAGAGGATCGGTGTACGCACAACCTATCCTCTCGTCTCCCCCAGAATACATCTAAAAGAGGGTGATAAGAGGAGGAGGGGAAGGGGCGAGCCTACAATGTTCTGTACGTATTTACTCTGCCCAGCGTCATCAAGGCCATCTGGTGTTTGCAGTATTCGTCCTACTCCACATCATCTATTTGTCATGGTGTGGGCTGCTTACTCTGGGAGACTCCGGAGTGTGGAGGAGGGGGGTATTAGGAGATCTCTGCTCCCCCACATCACCTCCTATTTCCACCAAACACACACGATGCACACGGCAGATGGTCCGCTGCTCATTTTTTGTTGCTCCTATGGGCGTCTTTCTGTCCGGTAAGGGAGGTTTAGATGCCTGGTAAAATAACAATATACTTCACGTTGATGTTTAAACTGAGCTTACGTTCATACCTTGATCAATCAGAAGCCAAAAATCGATGCTATTGTTAGACTGTTCCAATTGGTTATCCTTTATAAGCGCTAGTTTTCAATAAAATTAAAATAAGAATAAGGCATTTTTTGAATTTTAACATCGAATTCGTTTCACCGTTTACTCTTAAGATTAAATTTATTTATTATTTAACCTACCTCAAGTAATTTCATGAATTAAGTCAGCGTTTTGGTATCACTCAGTTACAAAACGAATTGATGTTACTTTTGACTCACAGGATGACTATACTGTAATACGTTAAATGGTTAACTCTCGATTTTAGTAAAGGGTCACTTTGTGTCTTGGTCATTGTATTTTCGTCGGGTGCGCTGGTCTCTGGGCCATGTCCTACTATACGTTAGATATATATAGTCTCCTCGACTAATATGTCTTCTCCAGTCTTCAAGGCAGTCTTGGGGCGCTGCAATACCACTTAAGTGATTTCTTTCTCGTAAATTTCCACCGGATTTACCCTAGAATTAACCTCTATGAGAGCAGCATGAGCAATTTATTAGCAAATTTCATTAGGCGAAAACAATCTCAAGTATTATTCTACTTCACATTTCCTAGTACCACTAAATTCATTAAGATTTAATGAACAACCATATTCTGAGCAAAATATTGATTGATTTGACTTAGCAACTATGGTGAGAATACAGCTGATAACTTTTCAGACACTTTAGCATCAATTTTTAATGGGACAGACCGGCTCCCATAGCCCGCAAAGTCACCATGCCAGTGACGGTTGCTCAGGCACCCTCCACAACCTGAAAACAATTGGGAACGCATGCATCTCGTCACACAAACTTTGCGCTTTATAATAAGAAGGTCTATTTGTGGATATCAATGCTTTAGTACATCAGAGGAGGTAAATCAAAAGCCATAATATAGCAGCTTTGCTTCAGTTTCATTCGATTTAGTATTATGTAAAAAAGGACATTTTGAGGGAAAATGGTCATTAAAAGAGGATAAGCATCGCAACAGGATCTGTCCTACGTATCAGCTCTCCCAGGTGCAATCAGCTGACACCAATTTAAATTAAAGTGATTTCAACACTCGAGTAACAAGTCGAGTGTAACATGATTGGTTCTTTAAGTGACCGCATAGGGATTGATTTTGTGGCTATTTATTGCTGCAATAAGATACCACCTTATAGTACCCTTCAAGCAGTATTACTACGAAGTATAAGAGGCTCAACTCTAGAACTAGCCCAAACCTGCAAAATTAGGTCTGCAATAATTATAATACGATAAAATAAGAACAGCGAAATAAATCCACCATCGTGGTAACCGTCACATTTGTAGGTCAGGGTTTTTGTTAGTTATACCACTGCTCCAATCTAAGTTGTTCTGAAATTCTCAGCTTTTGCGGTTTGACAGGAGTTCTGTCTTCTGCAGCAGGTGTGGAATCTACAGTTGGTTTGTAAACACCAAAATTAGCGTCACAATCAGAAGAATCGGAAGTAGCCAAATTAAACACAAGTTGATTAATACAACTTCGAAGACTGAAACCACTATCAAAGTATTCAAGTACCTCTGGTTGTACGGTACAGCATTAGAGTTCCCCACAGCACATTTCAGTTCTGTGAAATCGCTCAGTGGCAGATTTGATGCTATTATTGAGAATTGGGAAGAAATTTTAAGAGGCACCATTTGTCTGCGGATGTCTAGATACAATCAGAAGATTTCGGCAACTGATGCTTTTTAGTCACGCTCTTACCTTCAGTATGGCGAAATGCATACCGTTATCAATCATCGATCCACATTGTACGCCTCCTCAGCTCAAAGTTTCCCAAATTTCTTTCCGAGTAAAATCTTCAGTTGACAAAGTAGTGAAGTATACCTCTGACCAGCGTAATAGCTGAGAGTAATCGACGCAGAATATTTGTCGAGGAATGATACACAGTATTTAGTACGTATGTGTTGTCAGATTTTAGCAGAGTGGTCCTTGTATTAACCTTGAGCATAATTTCTTATAATCTTGTCGATACCACCACTAAGGTTTTCCCAACAAATGGTTGGAATGTAAAGCCTTTAAGATTGCTCGTCCTAGTGTAGGAGGAAAAAACGATTTGATCTCAAAAGCGTAACCAAATATTCATCAGGGCGCAAAGAGATTTCTATAACCCTCCGTTATAATTTCAAGTCCAGCCTTTTCACGACCAATTCAGAATAGCGTTATAATATTTTCGTATGTCACAAATTAGATCATCCCATAGAATAGGTAATGTAAGTGTAAGGAGGCGACCAGAGTTATCAGACTACAGCAGACATCGAGACAGACGGTCAGGATGAGGAATAACATTGACACTGCGATATTGGATAGCCTAAGAAAATTAAGCAGTGGAATTAGTGTAAAAAATATTTCAAATCAACTTTAGCACAAATCCTTTGTAGGAGAGGGGTCATGATGGCCATTTGTCCAAGATGATAACCCAATGGCTATACGGATGCCTTTCTCTACTAGTAGATTCGATGTCTTCCTAAATAGATTTATGGTATAACCTTTGTCGCTAGCTTTTATAATCTATTGTTTCTGTGCCGTGTGGCCCGGATTCTACTGCACTCTCAACCGGATAGGGAATAGGTAACGGCCACAAAGTAGATGCCTTTATTGACCGACGTGCGCATACGAGCTCATTGACTGGATGGTGGAGGCTGCCTGAGTATGCGTCAGCTCAGTCATGCAGATTGACAGTAGTGGATTAACCTTGACCTTAAGCGAATGTGAGCTCATTTCAAGCGTGTCTAAACTTGATCGCATCCAATTGGGATGGGCTGAGCGGAAGGCGGTTTATAGGGTATTTGCGAAAATTGCCGCGAAAGCAAAAACTTCTAGGAATTGGACAAAAACATGTTTCTTTGAGCAATTATTGAAAATAAATAAAATAATTTGTCTTTACAGTTCAAGTGACGGTATAACCTTAGCCTTAACAGTCGACTTAGAGTAACGATGTAGGAATTGCGAAGTGTTGATTGAGGCCACCTGTAAAGAGATAGAAAAATCAAAAGTTTCATGCACTTGAAAGTGCTAGTTAAATAATCATATTTAATTAACAAAAATGAGCATTCCCTTGGACTCATGATGAGAGTTGGGAGGAAAGTGGAAGAAATAATAACATGAAGGA